TCTCACCACTAGACAGGACCACCAGACAGAAACTTAACATAAAAACAAAGGATCTAACAGAAGTTATGACCCAATTGGGATTAACAGACATCTATAGAATATTCCATCCAAACACAAAAGAATATACCTTCTTCTCATCACCACATGGAACCTTCTCTAAAACTGACCACATACTTGGCAACATAGCAAACCTCCACAGATACAAAAAAATTGTATCTTATCAGACCACCATGCTTCAAAGTTAGAATTCAACAGCAACACAAACTGCAGAAAACCCTACAAACTCATGGAAATTGAGTGACACCCAATTGCACCATTCCTGGGTCAAGGAAGAAATAAAAAAGAAATTAAAGACTTCCTAGAATTTAATGAGAACGAAGACACAACATACCCAAACTTATGGGACACTTTGAAAGCAGTGCTAAGAGGAAAGTTCATAGCACTAAGTGCACACATCCAGAAACTAGAGAATAGTCACACTAGAGAATTGACAGAACAACTGAAAGCTTTAGAACAAAAAGAAGTAAATTCACCATGGAGGAGTAGACACCAAGAAACAATCAAACTGAGGGCTGAAATCAATAAAACTAGGAAAACATTACAAAGACTCAATGAAACAAAGAGTTGGTTCTTTGAGAAGATCAACAAGATAGACAAACTCTATCCAAATTAACCAAAAAGCAGAGAGAGAGCATGCTAATTGACAAAATCAGAAATGAAAATAAGTATATAACAACAGACACTGAGGAAATCCAGAGAATCATCAGGTCATACTTTGAAAACCTGTACTCCACAAAATTCGAAAATCTAAGGAAATGGACAATAACAAATAAGCAGTTTAAATCAACCAATAACCCCTAATGAAATAAAAGCTGTCATCAGAAGTCTCCAACCAAAAAAAAGCACAGGGCCAGATGGCTTCACTGCAGAATTCTACCAGAAATTCAAATAAGAGCTAATACCAGTACTCCTCAGATTGTTCCACACAATAGAAGCAAAAGGGACATTGCCAAACTCTTTTTGTGAGTTGATACCCACGTCACACAAAGATACAACTAAAAAAGAGAACTACAGACCAATATCCCTCATGAACATTGATGCAAAAATACTCAGCAAAATATTGGCGAATCGAATCCAAGAACACATCAGAAAAATCATCCATCATGATTAAGTAGACTTCATCCCAGGGATGCAGGGATGGTTCAACATACGAAAATCCAGCAATGTAATCCACCATATAAACAAACTGAGAAAGAAAAACCACATGATCATCTCACTAGATGCTGAAAAAGCCTTTGACAAAATCCAACATCCCTTCCTGATAAATATATTGGAGAGAAACAGGAATAACAGGAACATATCTAAACACAATAAAAAGCAATATACAGCAAACCAACAGCCAACATCAAACTAAATGGAGAGAAACTCAACACGATTCCTCTAAAAATCAGGAGCAAGACAAGGCTGTTCACTCTCTCCATCTTTCTTCAATATTGTACTTGAAGTTCTAGCTAGAGCAGTAAGATAAGAAAAGGAGATCAAGGGGATACAAATTGGAAAGGAAAAAGTCAAACTTTCACGATTTGCAGATGATATGATAGTCTACATAATGGACCAGAAAAACTCTATCAGGGAACTCCTACAGCTGATAAACACCTTCAGCAAAGTAGCAGGATACAAAATTAACTCAAAAAAATCAGTAGCCCTACTATATACAGATGATAAATGCAATGAGAAAGAAATCAGAGAAACATCACCATTCACAGTATCCACAAACAATATAAAATATCTTGGGGTAATGATAACCAAAAAAGTGAAAGACCTTGTACAGTAAGAACTTTGCATCTTTAAAGAAAGAAATTAAAGAATATGCCAGAAAATGGAAAGATCTCCCATGCTCTTGGATAGGTAGGATATACAGAGTAAAAATGGCAATCTTGCCAAAAGCAATCTACTGATTCAATGCAATCCCCATCAAAATCCCAACACAGTTCTTCACAGAAATTGAAAGAACAATACTCACTTTATATGGAAAAACAAAAAACCCAGGATAGCCAAAACACAACTGTACAATAAAAGAACTTCTGGAGGCATCACCATCCCTGACTTCAAGCTCTATTATAGAGCCATAGCCCTGAAAACAGCTTGGTATTGACACAAAAGTAGACAGATAGACCAATGGAATCAAATTGAAAGCCCTGATATTAACCCACACACCTATGAACACCTGATTTTTGACAAAGAAGCTAAATGTATACAATGGAAAAAAGAAATCATGTTCAGCAAATGGTGCTGGCACAACTGCATTTGGACATGCAGAAGATTGTAGATAGATCCTATCTATCACCAAGCACAAAACTTAAGTCCAAATGGATCAATGACCTCAACATAAATCCAGCCACACTGAACCTTCTAGAAGAAAAAGTGGGAGATACTCTTGAATGAATTGGTACAGGAGACCGCTTCCTGAACATAACACCAGTAGCACAGACACTGAGATCTACAATTAATAACCCAGTGAAACTGAGAAGCTGCTGTAAGACAATGGACATAGTCAGCAAGACAAAACGACAGCCCACACAATGGGAAAAGATCTTCTCCAACCCAACATCTGACAGAGGGCTGATATCCAAAAAGTACAATGAAATCAAGAAGCTAGCCACCAAAACACTAATCAATGAAATTAAAAAGTGGAGTGCAGAACTAAATAGAGAATTCTCAACAGAGGAATTTAAAATGGCTGAAAGACACTTAAGAAAGTGCTCAAAATCCTTAGCCATCAGGGAAATGCAAAT